GGGGCCGGGCCGGGGCGTTGGGAGCAGGGGCTCGCCAAGAAACGCACTGGAATAATTTTCTAGGTTTTATTATTATTTTTAGCGGGGGAGTACATGCTGCCAGGGGGGGCACTGACCCATGAGAGCCTCTGGCTGCTCTCTACTCTCCTCCACTTTTTTTTAAAAAATATATAACTATAATATATAAATATATCTAATGTATATAAATCCAGAGAGAAGGAGCAGCAGCATGGAGGCAGCTGCTGGGTGTTTGGGGGGTTTTCTTTATGGCTCTATCCCCACCCAGCATCTCTACATCAGGGCAGGAGAGGGGAGGACAGGAATAACAAAAATAAATGGATGGAGGTGGCTGTTGGCACCCCAGATCATGGCCACATGGACGTGGAGCCACTGGACACCCTTCCAAGCTCTGGCTTCCCTGGGCACTTGTTGCAGTGCCCAGGACAAATGCAGCTCTCTGGCTCCTGAAATTCAGCCCAGCTTCTTGCACAGACCCTCCTGGACTTGCCCCCAACCCCGTCCTCCCTCCCTCAGCACCCCCAGGGCCTGGGGGTTTATCAAAGTGATGTCCCCCTGTCCCTGTGACCGCCTTATGTGGCGCTTCCCCAGGCAGGGGGGAGCTGGGGGTTTTTTAGTTTTCAAATCAATGTTGCTTAAAAAAAACGAACAGAAAAACAAACCAAAAAAAAAAAAAAGAGAGAAAAAAGACCCAGCAAAAAACAGGTTGAAGGTTTTTTATTAATTTAAAAAATAATAAAAATTAAAAAAAAAAAAAAATCACTTTTTTTAACACCAGCTGTCCCTGCCTTTTCTCTCTGCTGGGAGGGTGTCCCTGGTAGGGCACTGAAAAAGGGGGTGACTCCTCTGTGAGGCAGCATCACCAGTGGGGACTGAGTGTGTGCTCTGCCTGCACAAGGCACCACTGCTGTCCCCAAAAAGGGGGATCAGAGGGAAGACCCAGGGCCATGGGGGTGCTGTGCCAGCACAGCGACGAGTCCCCATGTGCCAGGGGTGCAGCTGACACCCCTGTCGGTGTAAAACCTCTAAAATGGGAGCACAGCAGCTCTGGAAATGCCAGGAAACACTGGGAGGCTCAAGGCACAGTCCAAAGTTTCCTGCAGGGATGGGGAGGTCCCCAGGATGGCACAAACTCCAAGGAGCAAAGGCAAATCCTCTGTCTGGGGTTACTTACCTGCTCCAAGGATTGCCCAAGGCTGGGGGTGTGTTTGGGGTGTTTATAGGGTGCATCTGGATCCTGGGGCAGCAAAAGGGGCAGGGGGATGATTAGCACCAAAGAGGTGACCCCAGCTGGGCCATGTCCTGCAAATCCAATTGGTCCCAAAGGGGTTTGTTTTTAAGCCCCTGAATCCCAGTCAGGAGTGCAGGATTGCTCTTTGTTGGCTCTGCTCTGGTGCCCAGTTACCTTCCTGGGGCCTCCTGTTACCCTACTGTGGCACTGGGGGGATCCCAGATCCTGCTGTGTCCACCTCAGTGTCCCCAAAGCAGGTTTTGAGTACCTGGTTTTCCCCTGAAAAACCAAACTCACCAGGGAGCTCTCCCTGGGAGCTGAGATGCCTGTGGAGTACAGTGGAGCAGATCAGGGATGGAGGCTGTCCCTGTAGGGGGAAGGTTTGGGGACATCCACCAGGACGGGGCAGCCCCCAGGGGATGTCCCCCATAAGCTCTGGGTCCTCCCCAGGTTCTTCTGGGGTTCCCCTCAAGTTTTCTCACGCTCCCACTCACCCCAGAGGTGCCACCAGCTGTGTCCCCCCCCAGGAAGTGTCACTGCCCGTGTGTAGAAGGGACATCCCCAGCCCCCTGCACACACAGCCATGTGTCCCCAGCTGTGACACCCTCATTTCCCCCGTGCTGCTCCAGGGCTGGGGGTTTCCCTGCCTGGTACTCCCCGTGACACCACTTGTGTTCAGTCTCAGCACACACTGGGGCTTCCTCCCACCCACGGTGAGGGGGGGCTTCGGGGTGGCACAAGGGAAAGGAGGGGACGTGTCCATCTCCTGGGGTTGTGGTGTGTTGGTTGGAGGTGGGGAGCAGAGGGGTTTGTGCCTTCAATCAGTGGCAGCACTGCAAGAGGGATGAGGGGGTGACAGAGGGGGTTTCTTCACTTGGAGATGAGGAAGGCAGCTCACTGATGCTGATCCCAGGGGATAAGTGACAGCAAACCAGAGGCTTGGGGTGGGATTTGCTTTTGGCATTGAACTGTGTTTTGCTGCTGTCCTTCCCACTGAGGTCCCCATTTTCCCCTTTTCCAGCAGCTCCTCCTCCTCCTGCTGTCCTGTACCCTTTTGGGACCACAGGCTCCCCTGGCAGGGCACAAGTGGGGCTCGTGAGGATTAATTAGGGTTAATTCACTGTGGGGCTGACACAGACCCTGAGAGGGGGTTCCACAGGGGCTGTTTTCAGGATGAGGGATGCTGCTGGCTCCTCCTTGTGCATGAAGGGAAGATCCTGCTGCATTCAGGACGTGCTTGGCTGCTCGTCACCCTTTATTTCTGCAGGCTGGAGTTGCTTGCTCAGATCCCCTAGGTATCCCGGCCCCGGTACACGAGTCCATCCTTGCCCACCAGTTCAATCACGCCAGGCTGGGAAGGAGGGCATGGGCTGGATTCAGCATTCAGCCTTCCAACCCAGCTCTTCCTGGGGAAACTGAGGCATACATCCTCCCCGAGGTGCTCAACATCACCCTCCCAGCCTCGGTGTCCCTTGTCTGTATTGCCACCTTCCCCATCCCTACCTTGTTGGGGTCTGGAAGGAGGGGCTCCATGGGCTGCACGGGGTAGGTGCTGGTGTGTTTACCCCCACAGTACATCGGTGATCTGCGGGAATATCCCTCAGCTGCCTGCTCCCTGTGGGACAGGGCACAGAGATACTCAGTGCCCATCACTGTGGGACAGAGCACAGAGATACTCAGTGCCCATCACTGTGGGACAGGGCACAGAGATACTCAGTGCCCATCACTGTGGGACAGGGCACAGAGATACTCAGTCCCTGCTCCCTGTGGGACAGGGCACAGAGATACTCAGTGCCCATCACTGTGGGACAGGGCACAGAGATGCTCAGTCCCTGCTCCCTGTGGGACAGGGCACAGGGATGCTCAGTACCCAGCACCGTGTCACCCTGTGCTGCAACCTGCTATGCCAGGGAGGGGTTCAGGGGGTGCTCCCCCTCCTCCAGCTGCTGCAGGAGACCCCTGCCTACCCAGCCCTGCAGGATTTGCCCTTTCCCCACAGCCCCATGAGCTGCCCATGGCCATGACAGGTCCTGGTGCCCTTTGCAGGGCTGTGCCAGATTCAGGGCTTGATTTGGGAACTCCTTTCACAGGAGGCACCAAGTCCCTGATGACAACTCATCACATGTGGCTTCAGGGCTTGGCAGGACGGCACAGAGGGCTGCAAGACCCCTCTGATCTGGATCAAGCCCAGCTGACCCTCTGCAGCTCCTCTCTGCCCAGGCACTTCCAGCCCCTTCCAGCCCACCCAAGGAAGAGCTCTTCTCGCCGGGACAGGGCTCCCCAGGGGCCAGGGATGGGTCCCCATGTCCCTACCTTTGCTCCTGTGTTTGGTGCTGCTTGCGACCATGGCACAGGCGCCCGGAGAGGCCGGGGGATAGCGGTGGCATGGATGGGATCTCAGAGCGTCTGGGGAGGGTGACAGGGACCACAGGTGGGTGACAGAGGCCAGATGAGCCACCCCTGGCACTGCAGGGCATGCCAGCACCCATCTGCCCCTGTCCCACCCCCGATTCACCGGTGCTGGTGCCACTCACAAGCGCACAAGCGGCTCACAAGGTGAGTACTTGGAAGAGGGCACCTTTAGGATCATCCTAAAACAGAAAGAAAAAGGCTGGGCAGGCTCCTGAGGCTCCTGAGCCTGGATTCTCCACCACCACCCCAGCACAGTCCAACCCCCTGGCTGGTTACAAGATAAAGGGGGTGCCATGGGGAAATAGGCTATTTGTGGTTTCCCACCTGGATCAAAGCTCCAGCTCATGTCAGACAATGGTGAATACACAGAGGGAAGCTCCCAAACTCCCACACTGCTATGGGAATTTGTCCCAGCAGCAACCCACGGGAACTGGGGCTGGTGGCAAGGTCCAAGAAGGGGTTCCTGTACCCCTTGCTGGGGTGGGATGCTCCCAGCCTGGGACACGTCACCTCGGTCCCACTGGTGCCTCCAAAATGTGGTGGCTGCTCGTGGCTGCCCAGGACACACAGGGACGGGAGGTGGAGGGCACAGGCTCCCACACCTGCCACCCCAAGCAGCCCTCACACCTCTGTCCTCACTTGGTCAGCACCCAGGAGCCCTCTGTGCCCTGCCAGGAGGGCAGGTCACGACCTGGCTCTGCCACCGCGTGTCCCAGCCCTGCCAGGGGACGAGCCACTGTCCCCCACACTTGTCACAAAAGCCTTTGCACCTACATTCCAGGTTTGGCGGGGAGTGACTCCATCCTGGAGCTGCCTCCTTCACGTTCCTCCTTGGGTGTCAGGAGCTTGCTGCCAGTGGGAGGAAATCATCAGCAGCATCCCCACGGTTCCATCAGTGGATAAATGGATCCAATGCCAGGGCACCTCATGGGCCCAGCTGGAGGGAACAGGGCCAGTGCTGTCCCCAAAGCCATTGCTGTCCCTATGGCACTCACCTGCTGGTCCCAGCCACACTCTCCCCTGGGATCCGGGGGGTCGGGGATCCTGGGGTGCCTCGTAATGACTGCACCCGCTGGATGGGGGGGTGGGTGCCAGGGGCTCCTGGATGCATTCTTGAGGCAGTGAGTCTGTCATCCAAACTCTTTTTCTGAACATGGGGAGGAGCCTGAGCAAGCCTGAGCAGTGTTTCAGCCCCAGCTCTTGCCCCCAGAACTCCACCCCTTTCCCTCAAGGAAGCCCCCGTGCCACTGTGAGCTTGGTCTTAAACCAGACCTTGGTCTGAGGGTAGCAAGATGGGGGTGCAAACCCCAGAGGTCTTGGGGGGAGTACTTGGGGGGCTGGGAAGAGCCTCTACCTTGGAGATGCTCATCTCGATCTCTTCATCCTTGATCTCTCCCACATCGGTCATCTCAGGGGGAACATCCAGCTGGCTGGGAAGAGCCTCTGCCTCAGAGATACTTATCTTGATCTCTTCATCCTTGATCTGTCCCACGTCATCTGGCCCGAAGGAGACTGGGTGGCTGCTCGTAGTTGCCTCCAGGGAATCCTCTCTGTCCTCTGTCTCGGCCTTGGGGGGCAGGGGGCTGACGGGCTTTGGTACAGGTGTCCTTTCCACGAGGGTAACTGGAAAAAGAAACCAGAGGGAGCTCCCCAGGGTCAGGGGAGCCTGGGGGGACATGGCTGGGGGAAAACCCAGCAGTCTGCAGGCCCCCTGCCCAGCCTGCTGTGCCCTCACACCCTCCAGGTCCCTCCCCAGCTGTGCCCAAAGGTACTTTCATTGCCGATGACAATCAGCTCGTCGTCATCCAACGGGTTTATCTGCTTGGACCTAGTCTGATCTGGGGAGTCTTGGTCGCCCATCAACATGTCCCTCACGGCGGACTGGGAAGGAGAGGATGGGCTGGCTACCACACCGAGCTGCACTCAGGATCCCCAAGCCAACTTCCCAACCCAGCTCTTCCTGGGGAAACTGAGGCACAGATCCCCCTTGGATGCTCAGCATGACCCTCCCATCCTTGGTTCCCTCTCAGCGTCTCCTCTTGAGGTTGAACAGCCTCAGCTCTGTCAGCTTTCCCCAGGACAGAGATGATCCCGTCCCCAGATCATCTTTGTGCCCCTCCAGGATGCTGGAGCTCCAGGAGCTCCGTGTCTCGCTCATCCCGAGGAGCCCAGAACTGGACACTGCTCCAGGGGAGGCCTCACCAGGGCTGAGCAGAGGGGCAGCATCACTCCCTGACCTGCTGGGAATGCTCTTCCTAAGGCACCCCGGGACACCAGAGCCCTTCTCGTCCCCTCGGGCACAGCTCTGGTCATGGCCAGCTCATTGTCCCCAGCTCCTTCCCCACAGAGCAGCTTTTCCAGAAGGTCAGTCCCAACCTGGGGTGCCTGGGGCTGTTCCTCTGCAGGTGATGGACCCCACACTTGCCTTTGCTGAAATTCCAGATGTTCCTCCCCAGCCAGTTTAGCTCTTTGGGTACCTCCATGACCATGGTTTTAACAGCCAACCCAGGGGATCAGCAAACACCCAACTGATGCCATCTAATACAACAGCAAGGCATTCTTCCCTCCAGCAACATGATTCAGTATCCCAGACCTGCCCCATAACATCCCTCTGCTGTCCCAATCCCAGCCACCACTCCAGAGAGACCTGGAGGGCAGGGAGCTGTGATCCTGCCTGGCGCTGAACGAGGAGGGGCTGTGGTCAATACAGCCTGGCCCCGGGGAGGTACCAGCTCCTGCTGTTTCTCCCACCACCCCGAACCTGTGTTCTGAGCAGAAGACAAGCTGGGAGCGGGTGTTTGGCCAGCTGAGGAGCAGCCCTGGCTCAGTCTATGCCAGGTCCTTCTCCCAGTGGGATGCACAGGAATCCTGAGCAACCTTGGCAGAGATGCCAGGGTGCACAGTGGCTGGAGGTGCAGGGGGCTGTGATCCCGCTCCACTGCCAGATCTTGGCCTCCTCTTCCTCCTCCTTCTCCTGCTTTCCTGCCCACCAGGAAGTCCTCCAGCACATCCTAGCACACCATGTTTCTCACCTCCTCTGGGGCTGGGGAGAGCATCAGCCTCTTATTTAGCTTTTCTTTGGGAAGAAAGGCATCAGAGCCATCCGTGTAACTGGGGGCAGGATGGGATCCAGAGGAGTGTTGACCCCCTCCACTCCCTACCCCCACAGAACTTTTGGGGACCATGTCCTGATGTGAGGGGACCCTACCCTGGAGCAGGCTCTGGGTGTGCTCAAGGACATACCAGGACACTTTCCAGCAGCTGGTTACGGAGGTCATCCAGCGAGTCCTGGTGAGGACAGGGACAGGAGTCAGAACACAGGAGCAGGTTTTAAAAGGAACATTTGCAAATTAACTTGGACACCAGACAGAGGGATCCTGGACAGGGCTATGCCAAGTGGCTGTGCCTGTATTTCACAGCTAGCCCTTTGTCTTCCCACCTTCCAGGACCCAGGCTACATTTTTTTGGTGGCTGTTTAGTTGACAAATGCCTCAGCAGCCCTGTCTGAGGGAAGCAGTGACCTCTACCACTGGCCTGACCTGTGGGCAGTGGTGCCCCTCTGCCCTCCCCGGGGCAGTGCTGGCAGAAGGAAAGTGGGGGGGCTCCAGGTGGGTTGGGATAAGCACCCATGTTCCACTCTTAGGACACACTTCCCACTCTTCGCTCCTGCTCCCTTCACACTGGAAGCCTCCAAGGGCTGCAGGGCAGAGCAGGGAGGGGCAGCTCCAGGGGACACCAGTGGCAGCTCACCGCGCCGAAATTCTCCTTCATCCTCTGCATGTCCTCTGTCATGCGGGACTGCTCCACCTTCATCTCAGTGACCTCCTCATTGAGCTGCTGGCAACGAGCCCGGACCTAGAAGAGGGGGATGGTGGGGTGAGCCCCAGGGCAGGGTCCCTGGGGTCCTTTGTCCCCACCATGGTCTGCACAGAGCCAGGGGCAGCGCAGGACCTGGCCTGGGCTGTGCTTCAGCCTCCAGCACATCCCCAGCAGCTCCCAGCAGCGTGTTCAGACCCCAGAGGAGGGGGTGGCTCATGGGGAGCACCCGGGGCTGGGAAGAGTCTCTACCTCAGCGAGTTCTTTTTCATTGGCTTCCACTTTCCGCATCAACTCCTCAAGGAAAGCGGCAGAGAAAGGGCTTCCCTCGGCCCCCTCCAGTGGTTCCCCGTTCTCCTGGACAGGCAGATCCCGCAGGCCCAGGTGCAAAAGCATCCCATTCAGGAGGTTGTACAGCTGCTCAAAGTCGACAGCTCCAGCTCTTGATGACCCGAGGGCAACATCCAGCATCGTGCCCAGAGTGAGTGTTGCCATTGCTGCTGGTCTGTCCAAAAGCACAGAACTGCCATGAACAGGAGCCTCTTGAGCTATTGCTCCAGAAAGGAGCAGGTAGGGTGGGAGGTGGTGGGAGGTGGTAGAAGGAGGAAGAGGTGCACAGCCAGCAGGCTCCTTCCTCTTTGGTCTCCTCCTTGTTCCGGAGCCTGTGCCACTTGTTTCCCTCTTTACAGTGTCCCCTTGCCCTGGCCAGGAGTGCCCATTGTTACACAGCAATGGCTCAGCCTATGTGGAATGTCCCCATTGTCCCCCACTGCTGGTGATGTCCTGGTTCCAGCAACCAACAGGACCTGCAGGGACCACATGCCACAACACCTGCAGCCTTTATCACTTTCAGTCCCAAAATGACTCCGAGGAGAGCTCACATTGGGCAGGTGCTGCCCCAGGAGCCACTCTCAGGGTGAGTTGAGCCTGCCCAGGAGGGCTGTGCCCTGTGGAAAAGTGATCCATGTTCTCACACTATCTGGAACATTCCAGAACACTCCAGGAGATCAGCCCCAGAGAGGAAGAACCTCTAGCCATTCATTTTTGAGCTCTCAAAAGCTTGAGAGTTTCCCTTTTTCCTTGGATGTGGGAATGGTGGAAATCTGCTGCCGACTCCATCAAAACACAGATTTTCAGCACCTCACTCCAGAGCAGAGAGCCATACAAGCAGGGAAAAGCAGATAAACACAAGACTCCAGACAAGCCTAGGAAGTAAAGGACTCAAACACTGGGAAAAATCTTTGGACCAGTGATCCATCAGACAAATCCTAAAAAAATCAACTACAACCCTTTGGGTTCTCAGGGGGTACTTGAGTTTGGCTCCATGAGCCAGGGCTTGGAGACAGAGGCTGGGGACAGGCTGAGGGGCCCCAGGTGCTGCCCTTGCTGCTGCACTTCTGCCCATCAACCTGTTCCCCTTTGCCTGCTCTTCCCAGGGGGTGAGAAATTGAAACCACAAGAACCCCCAGCCCTGTTCTGAGAAGTTAAAAGAGTAACAAAATGAGGCTGTGCAAGGACCAGTCTATAAATTCCACAATGGACAATGGCTGGGGGGACACCCACCATCCCGAGGGACTGGAGCAGGGATGGTGCTGGAACCCGGGCTGGTGACACAAATTCTTTCTCTACATCTGTTCTCCTTCCTTTCCTCCTTCCTTTCTCCCTCTCTTTAAAAGTTTAAATTGTAGCTGCTGTGGGCTGTTAGGAAATCGCTGTTTCCATGCACAGTTCAAGGAAATTTAACCCATGAGCTGTTCATTGGGGTGGTTGTGTAATCCATGGGCTTTCCATCAGAGAATTTGTGGGTTGTTAAAAAACGTTGCCACGTGTTGTTCTGAGAATTTTAATCTGTAGGCTGTTGAAATAATCTGTGAGCTGTTCCTGAGGGAAGTTTAATCCACAAATTGTCCAGGAAAATTTAATCTGCAGGCTGTTCAGAAGTGTTTAAATTGTTGCTGCCAGTCCGTGCAACCTATCACAAGGTTTAAATCCTTGCTGCCCAAAAACTCCAACTTTCTAATTGACTGTTTGGTGCTGTTTCACCTTAATACAGCCCCAGGGTATCCTGAAGGTCCAGGAGCACCCTCTCAGGGCAGGCACATGGTCTCCAGAGCCATGACATGACCTGCAGGGCACAGGGGGGTCCTGACCAAGTGAGGACAGAGGTGTGAGGGCTGCTTGGGATGGCAGGTGTGGGAGCCTGTGCCCTCCACCTCCCAGCCCTGTGTGCTCTGGGCAGCCACGAGCAGCTGGTGCTTTAGAGGGGCTCCATCCTGGAGCTGCCCACTCCTCGTGCCCCCTGAATGACAGAAACCTGTCACTGGGAGGACATCACCAGCTAAAATGGGTCTGATGCCAGGCATCACATGGCTCCTGGAGGGAACAGGGCCAGAGCTGTCCCCAGAGCCATTGCTGGCTCACCTGTGAGTCCCAGCCACACTGTTGGACAGAGGGTCTGTGCTGGCTGCAGCCATGGGATGGAGGTGTGGGTGCTGGGGGATCCTGGATGAATGCCTCAGGGCACAGGACCTGGCACTTGCCTTTGCTGAATTTCAAAAGGTTCCTTCCCAGCTAAGGGTTTCAGGTGCCCATGTGCACCCAGGAGCTGTGGTGGGGTGTCAATGCAGCCTGGCCCCAGATGACACCAGCTCCTGCTGTTTCTCCTGTCACCCTCAGCATGGCCTTTTTCTGAGCAGAAAACAGCACACCAGAGCTGCCCTGGCTCTGCCTGTGCCAGGTTGTGCCTCCTGGTGGGATGTGCAGGGAACAGGGGCAGGAACCTTGGGGCAGTGGCTGGAGGTACTGGGGGTTGCAGTCCCACTCCACTGGCAGACCTTGGTCTCCTCTTCCTCCCTCTGCTTTGCTGCCCCCCAGGAAATCCTGCAGCACATCCCAGCACACCATTCTGTCACCTTCCCTGGGGCTGGAGAGAGGCTGGTAGGAGTGTAGGGGGCTTCAGGTGGGTTGGGCTGATTCCCACATTCCACTCTTAGGACACCCTTCCCACTCTTCCCTCCTGGTCCCTTCACACTGGAAGTCTCCAAGGGCAGCAGGGCAGGGGCAGCAGGGCAGAGCAGTGAGGGGCAGCTCCAGGGGACACCAGTGGCAGCTCACCAAGTCAAGGGACTCCTGGAGAGTCCAGATGTTCTCTGCCATGTGCTCTGCCATCAAGTCTTGGATCTCCTTGCAGATCTCCTGGCACAGAGCCCTGACCTTGGAGATGGGGATGGCAGGGTGAGCCAGGGCAGGCTCTCTGGTGACCAGGTGCTTTGCCCCCACCATGGTCTGCACAGAACCAGGGGCAGCGCAGGGCCCAGCCAGGCTGGCACAGGACACTGCAGGCAGGGCTTGGCCTTCAGCACATCCTCAGCAGCCAAGAAGGGGCAGCAGCTCCCCAAAAGCACAAGGGATGCAGGGGGTGGCTCAGGGGGAGCACTCAGAGGGGCTGGAAAGAGCTTCTTGCTCTGCCTTGGTGATGTCTCTTTTCACTGGCTTCCACTTTCTTCCTTATCTTCTCCATGTCTGATGGGGTGGGAACCACAGAGGCCTCTCACAATTCCCTGCAGTGGTTCCCTGCTCTCCTGGGCAGGCAGATCCCACAGGTGTCCAAGCATCCCATGTGGGAGGTGATAGCAAGTGGAGCAAGATGGGCACAGCCAGCAGGGTCCTTCCTCTTCACTCTCCTCCTCATTCTGGAGCCTGCAGGTCTCCCTGTCTACAGCTACATCCAAACTCTGTGGTGCAGACAATTCACTGCAACAGCAATTTATAAGGGAAAGCTATGGATGTTCCTTGACCACTGAAATGTAAGAGGTAATCAGGGCTAATGCAAATAAATTTTAATGAGAATTTCAGCCTTGGTGGCATCTAACTTAACTTCACTTCTGACCCTACCAACAGTAAAGCCACAGCTTTTGCTTTAACAATACAGAGTGCTTTGGTAAACTCCATACACCCACCCATTGCACTGGGGTTAAATCACCATGGAATTATTTCCAATACAACACAGAGTATGGGCCCAACAAAATAGGAACAAATGGCAAGCTGTCACTGTTGATGTGTGTTGTACAGGAACAACAGGGATTTATTTGTGAAAGGAACACCACTAATGTCCAAGACATTTGTCTTGGCACTGAACAAAATGTTTGTCATTTTGAAATACGTCCTGCTGAAATGCTTGAAACTGTACTTATATACATTGGGAAGATTAAGAACTATCTGTGATTCCATGGACACCACACCACTGTAGAAATAAGCCATCACTCAAACATTTGGGTTTGTATTTTTCTCCAAAATTGGGGGATGCAACTTCAACTATTCAGTTCTGTCACAATCCATGAATTGCTACAACCTACCTATAGATCCCAGCAAGAGTTCCTGCTCACCCCCACTGGAATGAACCTTGCACTGGTGGAAAGATTACTGCAGCATGACGAGCTGTGTTGACTGCTGGAAGGTGTCTGAAGGAATGGACACAGAGCTCTAATCATTGTTCATCAAATACTGAAGAGATACATCATGTGATGAGAAATGGAGAACATCACTGGTGGGATTGTGTTTGGGTAGTCACCCACTGTAACAGGAATTCCAGATCTAACGTTGCATCCTGCTGTAATTTTTCTGATTTCTGTCATTTTATGCTTAATGCACTATAGTGTTTTATATGTTGGAGTGTTTGTATTAGCTAGACAGACTGCACTGTCCCACAGATGTCCTTGCATAAATAATACTGTTCCCTCACGTTCAGTAGTCTTAAAAATCAGAGTATTTAGCTAACCTGATCAAAAATTTCTCAGAATTTTTAAGCTGGACATAATAAATCCCTGTTTTTAGGCACAGAGGCAAGAGGTGAACACATGGCCACTTTCTGGAGCAAGAGAAGTTGTCTTTAGTCATGGGGTGGATTCTGGTGGTGCCTCCCCCCACCAGCTCCTGAGCTGCACTATGATCTCAGAAATGTTTGTTAGACCTTGGCCTTGAGACCAGCACCTGGGTTGAGCAACTCTCAGTCTTATCAAAACCACTGTCTGCTCCCAGGAACTTGTGCTGTCTAACAAGCTCCTGTATTTTAACAAACAGCCTTGGAAAATCATTTTCCTTGCCTGAATAACAACCCAAGTGGAACAATGCTTTTATTATCAAACTTTTCAAGAAAGCTGCTGACATGAATTGTGGCCAGGATGGAAAGGAATTATGACCATTCCTCGAGGCTCAACCCTTTGTCTGTTGAGACAATGCAAAGATATCTGATGTGAGTATTCCCAGGAGCTCGAGGGGAATTCTTCAGAGCTACCTTGTACAGGCTCCTTCAGGTCTGTGTGCAAGTGGGAATGCACTATAGAAAATATACTATGGATCTTGCTCTCCTGGATTCTTAAGTAGTTTAGATTTTTAAGAAAATGCTATATGAAATTGTTAAATTGTTTAACTTCAGCATAAGCAATAGCTTAACAGCTTATGCTGTTAAGTGCTGCTAAACCTTTGGGCCTAAACTGTTGGTCAAGTCTGGAGCTGTTTTGCAAGAGGGTCTACTCTGAACCTCATGACTCATCTCGTGTTTCCTTTTTATCCTTGCCCTTTCCTACCCTTACACCCTCCCCAGCCTCAATGTAGATAATTTTTTATTGCATTTGTGTTTAGATTGATTTGTTTTAGATTCTAGTTTGTTTTTACCACCTAGTAAGTAGTAGAGTGAACCTTGCCACCAACTTTGTGGAACTTTCACTTCTATACTAAACCTGTTTTTGCTGATACCTTTGCTGGTGGTTCTTTAAGCAACCATAATTCAGTCAGGACAATGGCCCAGGGCACACAGGCAGAACCCTCTGCTCAGTGGTGCTGTGATTCCATGGTTTCTACCCAAATACAGCCAAGCAAAAGCAAGCCTGAATGGGACAACAACCCTCAATGAGCCCCAACCTTGCTCCTGGCAGGTCTGACAAGTACTTTGAAGGGGAGAGAACAGCAATACTGCTCACACTTTTAACACTGGCTTCCAGGATGAAGAACATTGTCCAGTAGCAGCTCACAAGAAAGGGGGCAGAGACATCTGCAAGGTCCCCACAGCTCCAGAAGATCTGGTGATGATGTACTTGCAGTACAGCATCATGTTACCCCTCCAGGCCAAGGAGCCAGGCTATGGTCACAGAAAACAGCTGAGATTTGTTTGTGGTACTTGGAAAATGCAGGAAAACCCATCAGCAGCCTTGATACCTCATCCAGTCCTGCACATCCCTCATGGAATTTGGCGTGGAGGTTTAATCCATGCTGGATACTGAAGGTGGTCCAAGCACTCCATGATGAGGAGTCTGTTTGTTTGCCTGGTGTTCAAGGCTTGTCCTGCTCAGTCACTGCTGGCCCGGTGGCACATTTTAGATGTTTGAGTGGAATGGAAGCTTGTAGAATAAAGATAAGCAACACTAAACAACTAAACATTTCCTGTGCTGTTGAAGCAACAGCTTTTATTTGTTCCTCACATCAGCAGACTAGTGTTGTAGGTTTTTCTGGAGTGTGTTTGTCTCATCAAGGGGAAAGATCAGTTTGGGAGTTTATCCTTGTATCATCCTGGAGACAAAGCCCTCCACATGCATTTTGTGCTGCTTCCTCAAGTGTCCCCTCCACTCAGAAATTAGTATCACTCAAGAAAGGAGTGATCAGCCAGTCCTACCTCCCTGTGAAAAAAGGCTGCAAGCTGCCAAGTGAGCCCTGTTACAGCAACAGCCCCACTAAATAGACACAGCAGCTCTTCAGAGGGCACAGCATTCACAGGAAGCACCAAAGCTGAAAAATCTTACACTTTTTATTGCAGGTTCAGTGTTAGTGTTTTGGAGAGCAGGGCTGCATTAGAAGCAGATATTGTTCCAACTTCCCTTCCCCACAAGACTCTGCCACAAACTCAGCCCCAGGCAACTCCAAAAATCATGCCTGGCTTTGCAGTGCAGACAAGTGTTCCAGTGAGGACCAGGACCCTCACGTGACTCATCACTGAGGAGAAATAATGATCCAAAGCTCGCAAAATGAAAAGGCCAACACATAAACTAGCATTCCCTGCTCTGCTGGGACACACACGAGAGCCTGTTCCCAGCTCCCTGACCCAGGGATGGGAGCAGCCTTGCCAATGGGTTGCCCTAAGCTGTCCTTTCGGGATGTTCCGCTAACTTAGTTTTGATGAAAGTCCCTGCTCTGCTGTGCAGGAGAGGAGAGGCCACTGAGCTGGCACGGAGCTGCTGTTGGCTCAGCTCTGCCAGCAGCACAGCCTGAACGTTCCCTTCTGTGCTCTGGGGCAAGACACAGGCAGGAACAACCCCAAAGGCTGCTCTTGCTGCCCACACAGAAATGAGTAGTCTGTTCCCTTCTCACAAGCTGACAGCTACTTCTGTTTAGCTTTTCTTTCTGCCCCTACAGGGCGAGACAACATACTAAAAAAAAAAAATTCATTAAAGAAACTTAAAAATTCAACACCACCTCATTTCTCCATCTCTCTTAATTAAAGGTGTAATCCCCCCCCCTCTGCCAGTGTCCCCCTCTATTCACTTGTAAAGTGCTGGTCAGGTTGGTTTTTTTCTATTAGATCTCATGGCTCAAGACCCTGAAAACCTCAACGCTCCTACAAAAATAAACAGCTGTGTTATGCCTATGTTTTATGATATTGCCTTTCCATGCAGATTTCCTTCTCTTCTGGAATCCAGGACGGGGGCAGGCTCAGGTCTAGTCATCAACAGTGATGTTGCGGAAGAGATAGGCCATGGACTCGCCGTTGTGGATGCGCCGGATGGCTTCCGAGAGGATCAAACTGATATCCACAGTCTTTATCTTGGGGCACTGCAGCTTCTGCACCTCGTGAGGAACAGTGTTGGTCACCACCACCTATGGAGGGCCAGAAAGGAAAGGAAGTTGTGCTGCTGGAACGTTCACCCTCCCTGAGCAGCCACCCTGGATTGACTCCAGGAGGGGTGTGTACTGCTGTTTCACAGTTCAGCGGGAGAAATCCTTGTGTATTAGCAAAAAAGATTAAAAGAAATGGTCTCCCCTCTAGGACAGTCTGATGAGGGGACCAGCAAAACCAGCACTCTCCAACAGGCTGATGGGCCCACTCAGATCACAGCATCTGTTACTAAGGTTTGAAATCCTGTCCTCTTCATGTACCAGCAGCCCCTGACCAGCTGGGGGAGAGGGGCTGCACAGTGAGATGCAGCCACACAGCCCCAGCTGCAGGGAGGGAAGTGTCCAGGCAGGGATGACTAATATTTTTATAAGGGAGAAAATACACTCAGAGAAGCAGATCTGATCTGAGCAAGTATTAATCACACTAGCTCTTTTTTTCATTTGTTCCAGTGAAGACCCAGCTAACTGAAAGCACCTGATTAAATGAGTAATTCCAGACATGAGCTACGTGCCATAGGAAGGACATTAATTTGTGAATTTTGGTGCCAGCCCTCCCTCTGCAGTCTGGAGAGGAGACTCACCTCATCAATGGAGGATTCCTCTATGAGACGGGGGGCATCTGCTGACAGGAGCCCATGAGTGGCCATCACAAAAATCTTGTAGGCTCCACGCTCTTTCAGGATCTCTGCAGCAGCTACAAAGCTTTCCACGTCATCAATGATGTCATCCTGAGCAGAAACAGAAATAACATCCAAACCAGAAGTTCATAGAGCCTGCAGGGCAGGAGTGGATCAGGGTACTGCAGCTTTGGCCATGCACACAGATGAAAAATAGAATCCCTGTCTACTTCAGCTGCTGATGAGGACAGCCATGTGCATGACTAATCTGTGAATGCTATTTCCCGGGTTTAATGACCCTTTTGCTAGTGTGGACAGCAAATGTTGTGTCTTGGAAACAAATTAGTCCCTGCACATGCACAGTTTATCATCAGCAAGGCATATTTTTTCATGGGGTAGGAGCTGCATGTTGATTACTTACACAGCAGCATGGCATTGCAAGTAAGAGAGGCTTGGAAAGTTTTTTGTTTGTTTGGGGTTTTTTAACACTTCAGGGTTTTTTTTCTGTGTGACCTGGATTTATTCATTACTTGCAGACATCTGACACTTAGAATCAAGTGAGCAAGGAGATTTTAGGGCTTAAAGAGCTGAAGTGCAAATGGTTTTCACCAGAAAGCTGAAATAACCAAAGCCACCAGCACTGCTGGAGAAATGAGTGTCTAAAAAACATTCCCACTCCTCCCACCAGCCATCCCTCTGACCCTCAGGGATGGAGCAGCTGAAGCAAAGATGCTGTGAGGAAGCCACCCCCCACCTGCTCCCCTCACACTCATACCACAATGATGGCAATTCTTCCTCCAACGTCTCCAACCACAGTTATTGGCGGTTTCTCCTTGGCCATCATCACTAAAGAAGAAGGGAAAAAAAGAGTCCAGGTGAGTCAGGCTTGAGTCAAACCCCACCAGTTCCACCACACAAGAGGCTGAACCATTAAACATCTTACATTGATTCAGACACAGATGTGCTTTACGTGATCCTGACACCCACCTAAGCGAGGAACCCTGATTTAAACACCATTTTTCTCCTCAAATGAACAGCACTGCTGCATAAAGAGGAAGTTCTGTTTCTGTGGGGATTTTGTACTGACCTCAGAAACAGAAAGCAATTCAAACTCTAACAAACCCCTGTGCAAGGAGAGTTACAAATCAGCACCTGGTTTATGGGCAATATCAGTGACTTTCTCTGAGCTCCAGCACAGGACTTGAAAAAGAGTCCATCCCATGACTGGGAACAAAAAATGTGTTTTTCTAAGCAGCACCTCTCAAAGGGCAGGTGCTTTACAAGGTGCAACTTTTCACCTCTTGGACTCAGTAAATCATCTGTAGGATCAGAGACTTGCACTGCACCTCATTTGCTTTCTCACATCACCAAACACAGAGGGGTCTTTGAGACCGTGTAAGAACCTTTAATACCACCTGCTCAGGCAAAGGAAGCTTAAGGAAGTTTGCAGAAACAAACTTGCTGATTATTTTTTAAGTGGATTAATGGAAAGAGTAGGAAAAAATCCAGTTGAAACTCATTTCAACAAGTTCAGTGCAACCAGCAACTGGATCAAAGGATACACTGACAAGCTGTGCAAGTGAAGAGATATACTGGGAAATAAGGTTCCATTCCCTCCTGACAGTACTTTTGTTCATGCAAAAACACATCCTGCCAAAATTCCAGCAGCATCATAAAAATACCAGAGATCTGAACTAAGATGCACTGAGAGTGTCCAGATGTAACACAGCCTTCAGACTCACACCAAGCAGTAACCAGCCCCCAGTTGGTTGCCAGCCAGGGACGTGGTGTCCATCTGCCAAACCTCTCACTTGCCTTGGGGTGCTGGAACAAAACCTTCCAGCATGGAAAGGACACCGTGGTGGGCAGATGTGTGTCAACAGGTGACAATCTGAGCTGATCTAACCACTGAAGCAAAGAGGCACCTCCAGCATTTTGTAACACTTACCTGGCCCACCCCCACACCCCACACCCCTATTTTATACTCTCCACAGTGAGTGCAAAGTGTCCTGCCAAGGCACTTGGTGCCCCTCATTTTCTAAAGCTCAGGTTTTGCCAGGATTCTGGCCACAGAGGCTTCTCAAGTGCCTCAAGGAGCTCAGACACTGCAAGATTTTTCTCTTTTAGGATAATCCACTTCAATGTAATACCTGAGCAGCAGGAGAACACAAGCCATTGCCCATCAAAAAGCCTGTCTGAATATTGATCTCTGCTCTCCTCGCCAAAAAAGTCTTACATTAAACTCCCCATCCTGCACAGCAGGATGATCCAGTACTATTCCCATATCTCATCAGTGCCTGGGAAAGCTTAGAGTGCAAGCACAGCTGGGTGAATGAGTCACACTGAGGGATATGATGAAAGCAATTATAAGGACCACAACTTGAAGATTCTTGTGTATTCACATCCATGACCCACTCCACAGGCTGGTTTTTCATAAACCAACCAAAACTGTATAAAAGGTGTCCAGTAGTTCTGTTTTGCCCAAAGTCCCATTACTCATTGCCAGGTTTTGTAGTTAAAGTCACAGCTACCTTGGACTGAGGAGTTAATCAACAGCTCTTTGTGGCACAGATTCCTCAGCCTCCCTTGCACGGATATTTCTGAGTCTCCTATCAAATGCAAAGTCACATCTAAACCCTGAAGGAAAAATATTCTTATGAGAAGGAAGATTATTTGTAATAAATGAAGATTAAGCACCACAAGAGTAAATTTCAGTTACAGGCACTACTGGCCTGCTTAGATTAGTTATGAGTTTACTATCTAGTCTGGACAGTAACAGAGCTCCTGGTGGGAGCTGTGAAGTATCAAAAGGATTCCACCTGGCTGCCATCCCAGCCTCCCTGTGTATCCACTGAAGAGTGCCATCTCCCTTTACAACAGCCAGGTCAGAGGAAACTTTTCTACACAAATGGTGAAGAGCTGAAATTCAGCACTATTTTACTCACAGAGATACGGAGTTTCAGCAAATCAGTATCCTTTTACTCCATGAAAGAAGCAGACACATTCCTTGCTATGCTTAAAGGCTAACATGGCAACCAGCAACATTAGCAGTGCTTTGCATCTCTGTCTGTTTTTTAAAAGCTGTATTTCAATTTTGGTTTATTTTTAAAGAATGGTAGGCAACATGTCGACCTACCCGGATCTTAAAGAGATGTTCTCCCTTTTCCTTGTTCAATTTTCTCTGCAAAAAAAAGAAAAAGAAATTGCAAGCCAAAGATCTACCCACAACCACATCAAATCTCAACTGCTCCAAGGTGATGAGAGTCTACACAAGGGTTAGTGCAGCCAGTTTCTTCTTCAAAATCTTTGGACATATAAGGATGTGCAAGTCAGAACTACTATGAGGAGGTGCCTTGAAAAATGATTCAAATAATAAAGAATATTTTCCTCCCAGACACAAACCCTCTATGTTCACAGACAGAAGAGGGTAACAGAAATAAGCCACGGTGGTACTTTTGCCCGATGTAACCCTTTGGATCATGTACAAGTTTGGGTTAAAGAGCTGCTGACTTTCTGGAGAGTAAGAAAAGATGCTTTTGGTACCTGTAGCTTCTGAGGGGAAAAAATAAAAGAGAAAAAACTAGACCAACCACCATCTTTTACAGAACAAGAATATCAAAGAACACTTTCATTCAGATGTGCATAGTATACACCAAAGTACCACATGTTAAAGGCAGGATCACTGGCACTAAAAAAGAACATTCCCAGGTGTGTAAACATGTTGCTTTAATTAAGTGGTCAAAAATGAGTTAAGAAGTACTAAAATATATTCTGTTTGGAGCTGACAGTGCAAATTAAAGTGACAATCACCAAGAAATATAATGCTGCATTTATAACAGAGCCTGGGAGCAAAAGGCTGCTCAAGAATGAACTGTTTTGTGTAGATAACCTTGGAAGGACAGAAAACATCCCTGTGCCCAGCCTAAACACAGGCAAGATGGGGGTAGGGAAGCAGGGACAGATCTATGGTCACCCCATTTTTTCCCCCTAACTCCCTTTGTGGCAGTTTGCTGGGCTCTGGGATTCAAGCAGACCATTAGCTCTGTATAAAGTACTGAATTCCAAAGCCACTGAAATGATTTAACAGACGGTGCTCCACTCTTTTTCTCACGGAAACATGCAAAGAGTCCCCATGCATTTGTTAAGGCACAGCCCTGAGCCAGCTGCAAGCTCTGAGACACAAAAGCACACAATCAAAGGGAATAACCTTGGAGTGACATCCTGTCTCCAAGGCTCTGATTTCAGGGGCTGCAGTGATGTGGCTCTTGCTGCCACTCTAGCACAGCATTTTAAGTGCAATTAGAAGCACCTCTGGTATTTTTCTGTTGTGGCTCCCTACGAATCAGAATATCACATCAGGCCACACTCAGAGGACAATAAATAAGCCATTACACTGCCTAGCATTCATTAATTAGAGGCACATGATCCCTGCTAGAACAGGGGGAGAAGGTGCATGCCAGGACGCAGGAGCCCGGCCAATTCACCGGGAAGCCCATGGAAAATGGCACAAAGCACGAGCCATCGCTGTGGGGCTCCGGGGCTGCTCCCAAACACAGGTTTCACCTCTCTCCTGGTTCTAACACAACTGCCAAGTCTGGGATCCTCCACACTGATCTGGTTGTAGCCCAGAGTGGGATGCCCCATAAGAAGTCTCAGTCAGGAGACATCCCCAACCTTCTATATGCCAGGCCCAGGTTTGGTTGCTGAGCCAGGCAGACTCACAGACCGTTTCTGTTTGGATAATTGGAGGGTTTGGGGACAGTTCTGGTATAAGGAACATCCAGTTCTGAGCAGCAGCATGTGTCTGACCTTTCACAACCAATCACACAGCTGAACCCTGCTATACTCTGCTCTCAGAGCTTTCACCACCAGGAAGGGAGAGCTAGCTGAATGAGGGTTTGGAATTAATGTGACATTTGAAGTGGGAAGATGCTTTTCAAATGACTGAATTGGACAAGAAACGAGGCACAGCAGAGAGGGTCAGCAGAGACACTTGCAGCATTGCCATCCCAGCTGCACTTTCACCTCTGTCTGGCAGAGACTGTGACACAACCAGAATGCAGACTGCTTTCAGACAGGGATAACCTCAGAACCCTGCTCACTCAAAACCAGGGATCTCTCAGGATAGAAAACAACTTCTAAGTAGAGTTTTGGACAAGTTTGCCCCACAATCCACCCCATGACAGAGAGCTGCCAAGCCACAGCTTGACTGTTTTACACTGTGCCTTAGGCATGCTGGGATGTAAGGTCATTGGTCAAGTGCTGAGTTTGTGCAGCAGGAGATAGTAAGAAAGTGGTGATACAGCAAATTAGTTTGTGTTTGGATAGCTGAGGACTGAAAACAGTTTTCCATTGGATTCATTATTAAACAGGACAAGGGCACATTTCTGTATGAACAACCATATACAGGGCTCTCCAGCAGCACAACCTTCCACAACTGAGCTTCTTTGAAGTGATATGGCTGGAAATAAAAATACAATCACATCAATTCCTCCATAGCAGACATGTCAGCTACTGATATTCTGGAGGACAGCATCCTCCAGAATAGGAGGGGAAGGAGAAAGTGAAGAATAACAATGCAAATTCCTGCTTTTTTGGACAGGCATGAAAAAAATCCTCTTGTCAGGAGGAAAATAAAGCCCCAAACTTCATTGCCAAACCCCACCTGCCCCCCAAGGCCCAAGAGGAGTTTCACCAGCAACAAAAGCACTTTTTAACTGATTGTATTCCAGTGAGACACACTGGGGTGATGTAAAATGCCTGCAGTCTTACTTGCCTGCCCTCCACAAGCTGCCCACAAACTGGTTGGATGTTCTCCCTAAATTTCCAAAGATGATTATCAGTAGCCAAACCACTGCTGGTGTTGCCACATGCAGCAGCACAGTCTTTCCCACGGGCACTTCTCAGCCACGTTCCTGCTCCCAATTTATTTCCTACCACCACCTGCCTAGAAAGCTAAAATCTTCCCAAAAAGGAGCTGGATTTTGATTGTACTGTTGTTATTTGACTGCTGCAGGAATAAAAGCAGTCCTGAGGATGGCATTTCCCAGGACACAAGTTTGTTCTTTTTCTTTTGCTCTCTGCTCCCAAATCAATGGCAACAGCTCTGGAAGCAGGACAACAATGCTCTAGGAGAACCTATTCACCCCAGCCACATAAACCTCAAAACCTTGTCAGAACAGACATTGGAATATGATCACCTGGGTGCCAAGGTGAAGAAAATTTCCAGCAGTAACAATGGCTGCAGAGAAGGGAAGACAAAGACTAGCCCTCCCCTCCCCAATGGAGCCAACAGCCTCAGTGACCGTTATCTCATTACTTACACTTTTACATCTCCCTTGTTTCATCAGCTCAATGAATTCTGTTGCTGAATACTGTAAAAGCACCACCTTTATCAGAGGTTTGGCAGTATAACACTATAAAGTAGGCACAGCCCAGGAGAAACTACTGATGCTCTGCATGGCCAGAAGGAGTTAAATAAAAATCTTCCCCTGTGAATTCTCATACAACTCACTGATATCAACTTTTCTATGAAAAGAATTCCGCTGGTCTAACTGCCTTTAGGTTGGTTACACAGATAAACCAACAGAAACTTCCCACCAAACTCTTCTCTTTTTTTCTCCCCAAAGGTAAGCAGAGAAGCTTGATCTTACATGGCAGCTCCAGGCCAGGATGCACAGTTGCATTTTTGAGCATTGGAGGGGAGTGACGCCCGTCATCCATGTCCTGCTCCGTGCACTGAGCCTCTCCATGGATCACTGCCAGCCCCAGCCGCAGCCTCTCGGCGTAGGACTGAGCCCTGCAACACAAAAACAGCCCTCAGGAAGGTGCTGGGCTGATGCAGTTTCACAGCCCACTACAGCAAGTCTCTCCCAGATCAACAGCAAGCAAAAGCTGCACCTCTGTGGCTGTTTCTCTGCAAGAAACCTCACTGGAAGTGACTCCTCATTCCTTGTTAAAATCCCAAAGCCCACTCTACCCACTGACTCCACCACAGGGTCTCCTGTGTTCCTCCACATGTGAAATGCTTTCTGAGATGGTCAGGCAGTGCTGAAACTCCAGTAGCAAGTCTGACTCCGGGTGATCCATTTCAGTGAGACTGCCAGAGTTTACTCACATGAGGGTGGGAATACAAAGTTCAGCTGCCTATCTGCACCACATCCATCCCATTTCCAGCCACAAAGGAATTATGACCAGATTATCAATCCATCTGCCACCCTCCCATACTTTCCCTGGTACATCTTCCACCAGCTCAGGTATTTTCCTAGTAACTTTTAAGCAGCCAGCAAAACATCCATTTACCTTTTAGCAGCGCCAGGAGATTTGGCTACAATAACTGCGTTTCTGTAATCTGGAATCTGGATGTGATAAAAAGTTAATTAATTAAAAAAAGACCTTCTTGCTAAGGAGTAACTGGTTTGATACATGGCTGAATAAGTTCACCCATCCTCCTCTCCAGAACCAAATTTTCATTCTGTGACAAGAAACTAGAGAGGCAACTGCACTTGCTTCCAACACCAGTATTTGTATATTCTGCAAAGGTGGGAATGTTCACTATGTTTAACCCCCCCCATATGGGGAAGCCTTGCTCTCATCATGTGGGAATAAATCATCTTTTGCACATGGAGAATAAAACCTCTGTGCCCTGCTCCCAGCCCTGCTGTGCTCAGCATCCTACACCCAGCCCAAGACAAAGTCCATCAATAATTCAGAGCAGTCAGAAATCCAGCACAGCACCAAGGGAGAGGGGAAGCAGTTTAACAGGATTTCAGAGGTGATTAGAGGCAGGAGCATCTCTCAAACGGCACTAACTCCACAGTGAGCAAGCTCCTCTCCTGCTTGTGCTGCAGTTCAGTTTCTATCCAATCACAGAAGTGTAACATCCTTCCATGAAACATGCAATAGGTGACCCCTGAGAAAGAATTCATTAACAGAAGGATTGACCTAGACTGACACCACCACCTCTACTTAAGCAGAGGCCCAATGCTGCCATCCCATTCAAATGAGTTCAGACAAGTTGATATACATAGAATTAGAGTAACCTCACTTCTTCCTGTATATACTGAAGCAAGAAAGGGGATGCTCTCAGGTTGTCTACTGGAAAGCTGAAGAAGCCTTGGATTTCCTTTTGATGAAGATCCATAGTGATAATATGTGTTAAACCTAAGGGGGGAAAAAAGACAACAATTTATTGAAAATACTCCCATGTGGCTGGAGTTCCTTCAACACCTCCATTTTCCAGACTGTTTTAGTTATTACTCAGACTATTATGCCATGTCATAAAATAATCATAAACAGATTAACACAGATAGTTCCACAGACATAATGAGAAACAGGCATGTGATGCCACAGCACTGACCTGACACTGTATTTCACTACAACATTTCTAGGCCACTTCCCCAGGTGCAAGTTACAGAGGAACACAAGAAAGCTGAAGAAAATTAATTCCCCTAATGTGGATCAAGATCTCAGCAACATGCCCCCACATCAAACAGGAGACTGGAAGGACAGGTGACCTCTAGGATGCCCAGCAGCTCTCAGCCTGCTGTGCTGCTGCTCCCTGGGACACTCACCTGCCTTGGCAAGCATTGAAGCCAGCAGCTTACAGACTATGGAGCCCCTCTTCCTCATTTTGCTCTGTTTGCTGTAGGGGAAGTAGGGGATGACCCCAATGATGTTCCTGGCACAGGAAGTCTTCAGTGCATAGGCCATGATCAGCAGCTCCATGACAGCAGTATTCACATCTCTAGGAGATTTGAACACAATTCCAAATATTAGCAGGTGTTTTAACAATGCAATTCCTTTTCCATTTATACTGACCACCCCCCACCAAAATTCCAAGAAAATAATGCTACATCTCAGGCTAATGTGTGCCACACCCAGATTGCAGCCATACAGCTCCTTCCTCCACGCCACAACAAATTACAATCAACTCTTACACATACAGGACACAACACCAGCACTCAAGAGCTGTGGACTGGAATTTGATTTTATATTCTAACATAACATGTATGATGATTTCCCTCCATCATCCAACATAAAAGGCTTTATATAGAATTTAGTTTGGAACAAATGTCACTTGATACAGTTTAATTTGAACTAAAATAGTCTTTTAAAGAAGCAGCACACATGCAGCCAACACAACTTCATCCACACTGGATTTCTTAGGGTATATTCCTCTTTAACAGTGTAAGGCAGGTTATTTTTCCTGCCTTAAGAAATACTGTAATTGGAGCAGTACAAACTCCAGACAGCACTTTGGTGGAGGTCAGCATCTCCACACTTTAGCTTATCTAGAGACAGAAGGAACAACAGCACATGAAATGCTAAAGGACTTTCTTGAAAGAAAAAACAACCAAAGAAAAAAGTAACATAGGCAGAAGAATCATAGAATATGCTGAGTTTGAAGGGCTCCATCAGGATCATGAGTACAATTCCTGGTCCAGCACAGGACACCCAAAAAATCCTATCCTGTTCCTGAGATTGCTGCTTCTTGAGCTCAGACAGGTTTGGTGCTGTGACCACTTCCCTTGGGAGCCTGTTCCAGTGCTCAAACACCCTCTGGTTGAAAAACCTTTTCCTGATGTTAACCTAAACCTCCCCTGACTCAGCTTCATGCTGTTTCCTTGAGTCCTGTCACTGGTCATGAGACTGAAATATTCCATTTACAGTTTGCTCACCCACAATGACTGGAGTGGCCCAGTAGGAGTGTATTAATCTGCATTTTAATTAATTTTGGGATGGGGAAAATGCTAAGCCCTTAGATCCCATTTAGTTCTTGAGACCAGCACCAAGAGACACTGCTTCACCACAGACTGACTCAAGAACATGTGGAAACTGAAGAGCACGTGCTTCAGATGGCAGGACAGGCACTCCTGCAAGACAGACCCCCTTTCCTGGGGGTTTCCAGCACGGACAGCTCCCAGTGACACACCACACCCCCAGCCCAGTCAGGAGAGCAGGGCTGGAGTGGCTCAGCTGTGCAGCCCATGGTGACAGGGCAGGGGCTAACTGGGCCATCTTTCCACACAGCAGCAGAATAAACAGAGCAGCCTAAAGCCCTGCAGAGCTTCCTGGACATTACCCAAGCACTGCTCAGCCCCTGTTTTCCTCCTGAGACAGCCACTACAGACAGCTTCTCCAACTGCCCAGAGACATGACCCATGACAAACCTCTGACCATTTCCATTTCCCCACTGCTCTCTCTTCCTTTGGAAATTAACCTCCACTTGTGCCTCTTCTTTTGTGAGGCTCTGGGTCTCTGTTGTCCCACTGGCCCTGCCAGCCCGCGCACACAATGCCATTTACACACAAGAAAGCTTTGTTGGCTCTGGAGCACCCAGCCAAGAATTACATAAAACACAGCCCCCTGCCACACAGGACAACAAGCAAACAAAGAACTGTTTCTTCCCTTTGGTGATTTAGCTGTGCCAGTGGGGCTGTGAGAGAAGAAAAAGATGCTACTATCAGTGTCATGTAAAAACAAAGTGGTCAAACTGAAGCCTATTTAAAGCTCATCTGAGAAACTTAGTATTTTTCATCATTATTTTTCAACTTACTCTTTGAAAATACATGCATATTCACATGGAAAGCAGGCAGAGAACAGGACTGGGACTTCAAAAGGCACCAGCAGTTCTGGTGCTGCTGCAGGACACCAGTAGTTATATTGATGGAGAAATTATTCAAGGAGGGTGCTTCTCCCAGTATTCAAGCAGGATCCCAAGCTGGGCTCGGGGAAGCTCCTGCAGAGCAGCTGGCACAGGCAGTAGGCAGAGGTGGATGTGTCTGTCCCTCCAGCAGGGCCCAGGGTGGGTGGAACAGGTTTCAAGCTGAGCCATCACTGATCTGCTCCTCTGCAAGGGGCACTGACCCCAACCAAGGGCACCAGCTGGGGAAAATGGCATTGATGGAGGAAGCCCAGCCCCAGCATCTCCAAAAGCCAAGAGAGCATCCTGGGCTCCTTGCTGCCCTCCCCATCTCTGGCCTTGAAGCCATGCTCAGTTAGTGACCGCTGGGAGGGCTGAGCCAAGACCTCACACAGGGGCTGGCAGCTCATTACCAGGACACTCAGACAGCTCAGCTATCCCCCACACCCTGCTTACCACCCCAGAGACTCCCTTGCTGCTCCTTACCTCTGGCTGGGCCATCCCTGGACACCAATGCTCTGAAGGCTGAGCAAACACCTCATGGATCACTGTCCATAGACTTTGCAACAATCAGCACCAACACTCAGCACTAAAAGGTTCCTTTTGCCTTTAGGGTACCACAAAATCGCCAACTCGTTCATTTTTCTACCACCTAAACATGAGCTATTTGATTTTTCCCTCATACAAATGCCAGCCTACACACCAGTCTTGGATGGTAACTGTCCTTGTCACCTTTTTTTTGGGTTGTGCTACAGCTTTTACGACAGAGCCTGTATCAAATATTCAGGTCTTTCTGCTCTCTCTGTGCATTTAAGATGCAGACTGTGAATTCACACTGCAGCATAACAAGGTTGTTTCACTCTCTACTAACAAGTCCTAATATTTTCTTTTCAAACTACTGAGTGTGGAAGTCCTATTCTTAGATTATTCCACACAGTTGTTGTTTTGACTCTCCTAAAAAGCTTCCTGAAACCCACTGCAAAATTGAGATGTCCTTGAACCTGTCCTTTCTAGCAATGCAGCAAGGCACAGCTGCAGTTTAGGAATGAAAGATGACTTGGCTGCACAACACTGGCTCCTCACCTGGAGGGCTTTGAACATTCTGGCTAAAAAAGATCCATTTCTTGTCCCAAAACACTGAATTCAGTTAATGGAAAAACAAGGGATCAACAAGTTAAAATAAAAAGGGAGGCTTTCCCCTCCCAAAACTGTTCCTATCCCTAAAGCTCTGAGTTAGCTCTCTCTGAACACTTATCTGTTTCATGTTTACACAGCTCTCAGTAGCAAGTTATTTCAGAGAACTCCTTCACAAGGGACAACAGAATGGCACCATTCACCCAAAACATAATCCTACAGCAGGGGATTTTCATCTTGCAGAGATTTAGTTGCTCCCTGAGGGAGGAAACACTTGGGGCATCTCTCTGGAGAGAGATGAGCCCTATGAAAATGTTTCTGCCTGCAAGAGGAATTCCAGGAGTAAGCTGGTCTAGTAGTCCTACTGATTTCTTTACAACAGGCCAAGCATTTAACAGAGGAAATGAACTTGAATTTTCAGTGGGCTCCGTTTCTTTAGCAAGAAAGAAAAAATCCTGTGTCCAGGCAATTCTGCTCCCTACTACTTTTGAGCTACAATTGAGCTCTGCTAACTTATTACTTCTTGTGATCTCCAAAATCTGAGCAGAATTTGGTAATCTGGAAAAAGCTATCAGAGCAGGAATATTCTTGTTTTTTTAATATCAATACCTCATCTCTGAAAACAGCACCTCCCCTGCTCACAACAGGTTGATTTGCAGTTATCATTTATTTGTAGGCTCCCCTCCCATCACCCTAGTGCTGTCCCATTACTCTTCCTGAGCCAGCAAGGAGCAAGGCTTCTGGGGTTACAGATGGTTTTCTAGCCCCCTGGTAATTTGCAGCACTTCTCTTACTCCAAGCCTAGAACAGCCCAAAATAAAACCCAAAAAGCCCCACCATCATCAAAAACTGTAAAAGTACAGGAGGGAGGCTATAGGCTTCCACCTGAGCTCAGTTTCACATCACTACAGCAAAAGGGGAAGAGCAATCCAGCCTGCAATGAAAGCAGCAGCTGCTGTTTGATGCTGGCTCTGTTGCTTGGTGGTTGGGAGGCAGAGGAAATCACCCATTCTGGGATGGAAATTCCAGTCAGAAATCATCCAGCAGCTGAGCCTGAAAGGCCACCAACACACAGACCAGGGATGTTTCAGTGGAAACCATCAGTCACTCCTGCTCCTGCCTCAAGTGACACACTCCATCTATTTGATAGGAAGCATCTCAGTGTTGAAATCCATCCCCTGGAAATGTTAACAACTTAACACTATGTGAGGCTTAGATCTAAGGCAGAGCAATAACAACACTGCATGAGTTCCATTGGTTATTGTGCTGGTTAGCAGTGAGCAAACCACTGAACCATCTCCTGATGTAGGTATTCAAAGCACATCCCAGGTGCAGAACTGAGCCACAAGTGCCTCACCTGGGGATTGTCTGTATGATGAAGATATCCTGTCCACGGACAGACTCTTTTATTTCAACTCTTGTTTCTGAAAAGGATGGAAAACAGAGTCAGTTTTGTTTCCAAACATCAGGTTGACATTGACACAACACACCATGTTGTAGCAGCAACCTTGCCCCCTAGTCAGGGCAGATGAGGACTCACTCCTCTGCCCTCTGTGCACATACAAATGCAAATGAGCCCACTGGATTTTCCAAAGGCTGGACCTGGGTAGAGCTGGCATGACATACCAGTGAGTTAGTTGTATTTACAGAGCTAAAGTAGACTGAATATCTGGGGTTTTTTTATAGAATTTAGAATTTTAAGATTTAGAAGACAATTTACCTAACTCTTAATGAGAAATCCTTTTCACACTTCCATGGAGGGCTGAGAGATGTCAACAGCACATTCATTAGTGAGCAATTAACCACCCAAGGAAGAACAACCTTCAGAACTTCCAAGAAGGTAACTCAGCACTTTTTGCACTTTGATCTTTCACAGCTTACGATGGGATCAGCTCCATGCTGGCTGGAGAGCTCAAGGCAACATCAGCAGCACAGAGCTCAGAGCAAGAACTCCCCAGTTTCACTGTCAAGGTTCATTGAAAATTCACATTTCAACACTGGCACAGGCTGGGAGTCTGGGTCTCTGCTGAGCACCACTCCTACAGTCCCTGACTCAAATGCAGAAACTAAACCCCAAGTAGCTCTGCAAAGCCAAAGCAATGACTTCAGTTTTACCAAGGTGCCTGCCTTAGCCACTCATTTTCCACAGAGTCATGAACTAGAGGGAAGGAGTAAAGAAAAAGAAAGAAACAGCTCCTCAGCTATGGAATTCCAAGTCTAATTGCCTTGCCCTGGCAGTGACCCTACAGGACTCTGCTGAGAGCAGACTGATCAGCTGTGCAGCGATGAAAAACGACTTCAGACCTCGTAGCAAGCAACCTGATTTAAAACCAACCCCAAAGGGCAGCGAGCTCTCCCGGGCAGGAATGCACCAGCCAGCCCAACCATAACCACAGCAGCTCTCCCACTGAGAGGCCCATTCCTGCTGCAACAGCAGCAGCACTACAACAAAATCCTCCACCCCTTCCTATAGCAGCTCTCTATTGCTACTCTCTCTTGCAAACAAGCTAACAGAGGTCTTGAAACAGTAAATGACTCTTGGCTACAGAACTCTGCTGGCCAAAATCCTTGTGTTTTACACCAGCATCTGAAAATGGACGCTTGCGGAGTGTTAACCTCCTTAAAAACAAAAGCAACCTTCAAGAGGCGTTTTCCCCAGCACAGCCATGAATTTGCACTTTTAAAGACAAGGGCAGCTGTAAATTTTGTGTGTCAGGGAAGGGCTGAAAGAAAGCGATAATTTAAATTTTCACAAGGCAGGCACTGAAAAAGCAGGGCATCACTTATAAATCTGGAGATGTTTTGCTCAGCATAGGAGCATAAAAGATTTGGCAGCAACTAAAACCGGAGGCAGGACTCTAGAGGAGAGTTTGCAGATGGGCAAACAAGCAAGATAACCAGGGAAAACAAGGAACATGTTTCATTGCTTTGTCCAAGGTCAGCCATGGAGGTTTAGCACTGCCAGAGGCAGCAGTAACATCACAGCTGAATCACTGCATTTAGGCAGGTCTGTCCAATGGAGTTACACAGCATTTCTAAGATTACCTCAGAACAGTTGCAAATACAGAAATTTCTCTTACCTCCATTGGTTTCTTGGTACACCACAGATTTCCCCAACTCAGCACCGAGACGCCTGGAAAGAAAAAAAAGGACGTTAGAAATGGAGGAATCCGGCAGTTTGTGCTGCAAAACAGGGAATGGACCACATTACACACCACCAAAACACAGCACTGCCCAAGAGGGAGCTGAGTGAGCCAGCCAGGCTGCAGAACTACATCATCCCCTTCTCTGGGGGTCTCCTTCCCTCTGATGTCCCTGAGAGGGCCATGGGACACATCACACTGTACCCAAAGCCTGTATGAGTGACCACAGGCTGTGACTCCTGATGGCAAAGGACACCTTGCCAGCCTGTGCAATGCTCCCTTGGGCAAGTCTGATGTACAACTAGAGTTGAATGATTTACTCAGACTCAATTAATGGCACCTGAGTCACTTTTTTGACTCCCACCTCTTTTCCTTTTTTTTTCCTCCTTGAGCCTTCCTTCTGAAATAACTCAAATGATAAATGAGATTTTAATGTCAATTTAAAATTTTTTTTCAAATTACTCCTTCCTTTTCTTAAATATCAAATCTACAACACTCATCACAACAAAGATTAGTCATCCTCCTTCTCTTTTTAATTTATTTCTTACAAAACAAAGACTCACTTTGAATAGCATTTTAAAAGGCTCCAAAATGCAGACTTTTCCCTCAGGTGACACTTCAGGACTTAACTGTACTGACAAGTAATCCATTAGTAAGTACTTAAAGGCATTTGTGCTTTAACCCAGAGCCTCAGCTGTGAGACCCTGCAGCAGTGAAATGCTTGGGCTGAAGGAGATGGAACCGGGACAATTCCCTCCTCTCCCAGGATATGCTCTGTGGCCATGGCCACACAATGAATTGGGAAAGAGTTTATGCCTGAAAAATACCTTTGTTCACCACGCTGATTATGGCAGCAGTTTCCTGTTTGCACTTGTACTGTTTTTACCTGGATATGTGCCAAAATTCTGCAGATCAGGACTAATCCTAAATAGAAGAGTACATATCTTCTGCTGTTTTTTTCTGATCTACAGCCTTCAGCAGTTGGTCTCACTCCATCTCCTTACCCACTAACTCGACCTTGCACTTCAATTGTCACAAAGATCTGTGCTTTCAGAAGTGAAAGAACAACACAGTTTGACCCTGGCATGCTTCTGTCCCATCAGCAACTGCTGGGCTCAGCTGTGAGCCAGAGCTGGAGGTCCCAGCTAGAAGCTGGCCTGGAGAGTGTGCCTGGGACAGCTGAGATAACAGACACTCGGATGCCATGGGATATGTTTGCTTAGCTGGCTCGAAAGCACGTCTGGCACACACACCCTCCCCACCGAGTGTCTGGCAGCACGTTTTGCAATGGCTGGGCTGGTGACTAAACTGCCACCTCGAGAGCTGGACGTGCCAGACTGTCACCAGCCCTGCCTGGGTACCAACTGCAGCATCACCCTGCAGCCCAGGCCAGACAAGTCTCACGTATCTCCCACTGGGCTCCTCTCAGCCCAGATGGGTTAAAACTTGCAGCTGCAACCCAAAGGCATCCTCAGTACATTCAGTATCTTCAGAAAGAGCTGGCAGCTAGTCAAATAAAAGCAATCCTTGGCACCTCACCCACACCAGAGGTGAGTTTTTCAGGTGTGATCCTGCTTTCCTGATGAGGACAGACTGGCATTTTCAACCACCAAGCTCAGTCCTAATCACTGCTAAGGCATCTGTGTCCAAACAAGCTCAGAAACATACACACACATCCACCCACCCCAGAGCAGTGTGTGGTGGGAAATGTTTCATGACTCACACTTGTTCCACCACAACTACATGGCAAGTCTTGCAAGTTCCACTTGGAGGCACGTGCGCCCTGACTTCACTGCAGACAGCACAATCCTACCTCAGTACTGGGGAAAAAAATCCATTGGAGAGACTGTGCAAGTGCTTAGTCAGCCCTGAATCTCATGGCAGGATGGAAAGCTTCAAAACCAGTCCAGCTGGACTCATCTCAGCAAAACACCCCTTGGGAGGTGGCACTTTCAGTGCTAAGTGGTGGCAAACAAAACCATGGTTGTGGTGCTCACAGGGAATCATTCTCACGTTGTACTAGGGGAGGTTTAGATTGGATATTAAGAAATACTTCTTCCCTGAAAGGGTTGTCAAGCCTTGGAACACACTGGCCAGGGAAGTGGTGGAGTCACTATCCTTGGAGGGATTTAAAAGACATGAAGATGCGGCACCTGGGGATGTGGTTTAGTGGTGGCTTTGGCAGAGTTGGGTTAACAGCTGTGCTCAGTCTTAAAGGTCTTTTTGACCTTCATGATTCCGTAATGCAGCCAGCAGAAACCAGAGCCCAGTGCTCTCCTACTCACCATACAGCAGCAATGCAGTTTGTATGCTGCTGAAACCAGAAGTCAGAAGGGCAAGTTTGTTCCCCCATGGCAAGAGAGACACTAAAACAGCTTGGCTTGGGGCACTAAAGCAGCTCAGTTGTCAAACCTGGGTGCAGGGAGCAGCAGAAAAGACAGGAACAGATGACAATTTAGAGGAATGAGTGGCTCTGGTCAGACAATAAATCCCCCTCTCTGCTCCAACTGTTGACTGCAGGTAAATAAGAGCAGTGGATATGAGATAAAACTGCCCATGAAAGTCCCAGATCAGCCCTGCCTGCAGCACTCCAGAGTCCCAGGAGCCACAGGCACAGCAGGATCCACAGGCAGCTCCCCCAGAGCAGCTGAGGTATGTGCACCCCAGGGGCACACCTTGCACCAAATCCCTTCCTGGAGGCTTCGGTTAGACAAGGTATCAGCCAGGGAGGGAGTCTGATAAACCTTGACTGAGTCAAGGACAATAAAGAGGGGACTGTTTGGTGCTGTAAAGTGCCAAATTCCAGAGGACTTTTATCAAAAGGGATATTTGCATGGAAGTCAAGGGCAGGGCACAGCCTTATTGACCACACAGCCTGGCAGCAGCCAGAGTTCAAAGATAAATTTCCCCTTCCTATTACCTCTCCCTTGTTTTCTTTTCCATCCCAATTCTTTTCTCTCAAAAATCCTCTCCATCCTGAAGCTCCCAATTGGTTGTTGCTTTAGGGGATACAGGAATTGAACCGACAGCAAAAACTTTTTTCATCCATCTCCAGGACTAACAGCATAATCACAATAATCTGGGCTACCACAGTTACTGATCACTTGTCTGCAGACACAGGCAGGCCTGCACTAGGACACAGAAGGTGCCACTGCAGGTAACCCAGACCACACACCCAGCAGAGATAAAGCTGCTTCCGGGAAAAGTAACATTTTAGGTCCTGCAGACAAATCACATTTCCAAGCAAAATGAGCTGCTATCCTCACACCAGCTCCATCACTAAATCAACTCCTCTGGGGCATGACAGCACTGAAGAGAAAAAAAATACCTCTTTATGGCTTTAAAAATCCTACTCAGAGCAATTGGCCAGTAAAAATTCGTATTGATCTGGAATCTCTCTGTAAACACTGCCCAGGAAGGATGATCTAACTTTCTGCAGTCTCAAAATATGCCAAGAGGATATTAAGCTGTGAATACAAAAGTGTTTATAAAACCTGTCTCAAATTCACATTTGAGTGAAAACAGCTCAGGAGTCACCTATAGTTTAATGAGGAAGTGACACACTGCAGTATTTTAGGAAACACTGGGAGTCTGTATCAGATTGTACTTTAAAATGCTCCACTGAAGACTGTCAAAAACCACTGTACCAGGCTCTCAAGACAAAGCAACTCCATGTTCAGCTGAATCAAATTTCAAGGGGAAAATGTACTCACAGTACTTTGTGCCATCAGAGCCTGTTTCAGTGCCACTGAGAAGTGCCTTCAGCCCAGGCTGTGTTTCCTTCTCCTCCTCTGTGACCAGAATCCAAGATATTTGTCAGGTTATCTCCACAGGGAGCTTTAGGCCAGCTTACAGCACAAACATTTAATTTGAAGAGAAATCTAAACACAAAGCTCTTAATTATGATAATTTATTTTGGCAATATCTGCTTCATTATAAACACTTCCCCTGGTATCAGCTCAACAAATTCCCAACTCTCCCCACATCTGCAGACTCAGAAGGAGCTGGAGCAGAGGACAGAGGGTCTGTGCTGTGCCTGACTGTGGCCAAATCAAGCCACAGCCTGACTCTGAATTGCTTTTCAAACTTCAGCAAATATTTAAATAAAGATCAGCCATGGTCCAGCCAGCACAATGGCAGCTCTGCAGTGCACTTCCTAATCCCCCAGTAAAAGAACAGCCAGGAAAGGGAAAGGGAATGGCAGCTTCCTGGATACAATCTATTTAGATATCATTAGAACTATCTGAGCTCTCCTTTGCCTCTCCCCATCCACCCAGCCCAACTGAATATTTGAAGAAAAGTTCCTATTGCTCATCTGGAACCACTTGTTCCAGCCATGCCAAAGCCATGCAGCCCAACTACTGGCAAATACCAGGCAGATCTTCCTCTACTCCTGGTGAAGGAACTTCCCCTAAAGCTGTGCTGGTCAGCACAGGAAGCTCCTCATGAACCCAGCCTGCTCAGCCACATTCTGTGCTCCACCTAAACTGCACTGAGATGTTCTGACTCCCCTCTGCCACTCCCTCATGTGCTAGTAAGATGACCTAAAGAATACATTTCCTACCAGAAATCCTTCCTCAGCTGAGGGAGGCTGCTGCAAGCCCTCTGAATGTACTGTCTCCCCATAAAGCAGGGCTCACCTCCCACCCAGTCACAGAAAATACCACCCTGGGTTTAGCATTGTGACCCACCTCCGTGCAGCCAGAGGTCAGAACACAAATCCCTGTGTTTTCCTAATACCATGTTCATGTTCATGGCAATGCTCTATCTTCACACCAACAGCATTTTCCATGCTGCAAGCTGAGTAAATCTCTGGAATACTCACATCCACAGTTGGCAGTGGAAGAGTATCACATCCCACATCACAGAGCTGCAGGAGCACTGGGGAGGCATTAGCAAGATTCAGTCACCAACCTCCTCCAAGCCAAACACATAAGCAGTGAGTAGAATGTAATATTTGTACCTGCTGAGCCAAGCACTGCAGTCACAAGGAGATCTAAATGCATCTGCTGGATTAAAGATCAAAAAGACTTCCTAGATCTCCCTCCCCCCAGCAGTACACAGGCCCATCAGGGACCAGCACTGGTCACAGAAATTATCTTTGTCCCCTGGAAATGCAGCTTGTGCCAAGTGTCCTAATTACAGCAACAGTTTTCTTTCCATCATGGAAAGAATTTAAAGTAAAATAATCATCACTCTTAATTTATAACAGAAAAAATAAAGACATGGGTTTATTTATGTCTCAGTGGTGCTGAATCTAAGGAAGATCTTCCTTATTTCAAGTCTCACAAGGTCCTAATAATCCAGCACCAGCTTCTCTCCCTGGCAGTCACTGCTATCAACTAAAACTCTGAAAACCTAAAGTGAAAGTAAGACTGGCCATTAGTCATCATCCCATAAGCAGAGAATGCTCAAGGGAAATCATGAAGATCAGAACTGTGCCAGAATATGATACTCAGAGCCTGAAATGAAAGTAGCTCTGGAAGTTTTGCAGAAAAGAAAGTGAGGAGATAAATCAGGTGTCTGAAAGCTGGTCAGTGTCACACTGCTCCTCTCCAGGCTGGAGATTTTAAAAAGGATAAGTCAGAACTATTCAAGTAGATATCTTAAGCTCATACCTACAGAGCCCAGGTGAACAGGTGTCTCAAGGGGCCCTCCTAATATTGAGTGTTGTTTTAAAGTTTTTTTACTACTTTTACTCAAGGTCATAAAAAAACTTTAAAAAGAACCCCCAATATTAGAGGACAGACTCACCCTTGTAAGATTGCTCCAACTCTGTTTAAACGTGCAACTGACCTTCCCAGCAAAGAACAGGCTGGGGTGTGAGACAGGGGGAAAGGCAGCAACCATGCATCTTTTGCAACCTGAAAGAAGAAGGGATGTGTTACAGGTCAGTTGAAACAGCCCTCAAGCTCCTAAGGGAAGGCAGTGCAAAACCACTGTGCTAGATGCTGAAAATACCTTTAATTTTTGGGAGACTTTTTACTGTGGGCAAATCTGTACTGTGAACAGTTCCAGATTTTATACCCACAACAAAGATAAATGTCCTTAAGCCTCAGTTAAGCAGCAGCTGTGTGTCACAGGGCTGTGCTCGTGCCACCATCAGATCATCCAATATCCCACTGATGGCAGAGCCAAGGGAAAAAAATCCCACATCGCCCCTGTTAGAAATTAACTTGGTGAGAGATCAAGGAGGGGGCTGGGAGGTCATTCTGGATCCAGATCCTGCTTCTTTCCCCCGCAGAGTATCCCTGGGATAACATCAGCACATCATCCCAGCCAGCGCCATGGCCTGGGGAAGCCTCTCTGTGTCTCTTCTCATTGCATCTTCACAAAGAAGGGAGTTATTTTTAAGACAAAGAGCAAGGAAGAAAGATTGCCCATTTGCTCCTCCAGTCCTGAGAACTCAGAACTTGTCCCCAGGGGAATTCTGTTGTGTCATGTTGATGCAACAGGACAAGCTCTGTAAAACTCTGTCCCATCTGCTGCAGCAAAACTTACTTTTTTATAGAGAGACACATTAGTTTCAGAGTTCAGTGACAGGAAAGTGAAACAGAACTGACCAAATATAGCAAGAATACATAACAAACACAAGGATTTTCCTCTTAGCCTCACATTTAAAGAATCACTATTCATCACTATCCATCACTATTATCCAATACACCTCTCAGCCAAACAGCCAAGTCAGCTCCGTGGAGATAATCTGTGCTAAGGACTGAACACTGTTTATTAAGCAAGCAGGACCAACAGCAAAGTGTTCCCACAGTTTAAGGTGGCAGCTCACCTGTACTTAAGTCCTGGTTCCTGCTTCCAATTTAAGCACACCCTTGGAGATGGGAATGGGGCAGCAGATGCCTAGCAAGAATAACTGGGATGCTGTCAGCTGCAGCAGACAAACCAGCACTGAGACCCCTTGATTTTGGGATCAGCTGCCTATGAACTGTATCTAAGAGCACCAAGAGCCCCATTTTGGTGGCAGATGTCACACTCTTCACTCATCAAGACCCAACACATCTGTCCCAGACAAGACAAGGTCAAACTCTGCCTAAATTGATGGCTGAAGAAAATGAGGCAGACTTTTACCCTAAATCAAACAGCCCAGGCTGCCCAGCTCTCCAGAATTCATTCTGGTCAGTGCAAGGTGCTGTGCTGAGGTGCACATGGACACTCCCCTTGCCCCAGGCACCGAAGCTGCTGGGAAAACAAGGTCATGAGCTGGAGAAAGTTTTGAGAGTCTCCCAAACCTGCTAAAAATGCTTTTCTGAGGTTTGTCCAGCCAAAGTTTCACCTCCTTCCTCCCCAAAAGTAACAGCTTTTGCCGTAGCCCAGCCTTTCCAGCAGTGAAATGGACATCAAAGAAGGGATAAAGCGGCGAGTCCATTTCCATCGCTGGGTCAGGCAGAGCTGGTGAAGATTCCCAATGCAAAATCTCCACAAAGGTGTTCGCAGGAGACGCCTTGGGAAAGCGGGGGATGCCAGAAGCTTCTCCAGCCGCTCGGGAGGGCTCCTGCCTGCGCCGGGGAGCGATGGGAGAGAAAGAAACTTGAAAGAGAAGGCAACTTACTCCGTGATCTTCTTCGCCAGCTCGGTGGAGGCTGCGGTAGAGTTGGCCGAGAAGACCCGGTAGCCACTTCTGGCCGCGTTCATCGCCAAAGAGTCATGCAACCCCCGTGGAGCTCGAAAGTGAGAAAAAACAGATTTATAAGGCAACAACAGCTTCCGTGGCATCCTTTTCTTTCCTCTCCGCCGTGATCACCGCCCCTTAAGGG